TTCTAGAAGTCCTGGGTGGGGAGGACAATGGATGGGAAGGAGTTCAAAGGGAAGGTGCAGCTCTAGAGAAGTCCTGAAGAAGAGAATGTGTGGTAAGGAGTTCCATAGAGGGGATTCAGCTATAGAGAAGACCTGGAGTAAAGAATGGTGGTAAGGAATTATCTAGAAGAGCTGCATTACTAGGGAAGTCCTTAAGACATGAATGTGTGGTAAGGAGTTCCATAGAGGGGATGCAGCTATAGAGAAGACCTGGAGAATGGAATGGTGGTAAGGAGTTCCATAAAGAGGTTGCAGCTCTAGAGGAGTCCTATAGAGGAGAATGTGGTAAGGAGTTCCACAAAAAGGGTGCAGCTGTAGAGAGGTCCTATAGAGGAGAATGGGTCATAAGCAGTCCCATAAAGGGGGTGCAGCTCCAGAGAAGTCCTGAAGATGAGAATGGGTGGTAAGGAGTTCAGTCGAGGACGTGCAGCCCTAGAGAAGTCCTGGGGACATCAATGGGTGTTAAAGAGTTCCATAAAGGAGGTGCAGATCTAAAGAATTGCCGGAGAGAGGAGAATGGTGGTAAGAAGTTCCACAGAGGGGGTGCAGCTCTTGAGAAGTCCTGAAGATGAGAATGGGTGGTAAGAAGTTCCATAGAGGGGGTGCAGCTCTTGAGAAGTCCTGGTTACAGTAGTCAGGGGTGGTTATTGGAGAGCTCTGATATAAGATGTTGCAGCACCAAGAAGGAAAGTCTTCGTTTTGAACCCGTCAGGCCGGGCAGCGATGACCAGAGGAGAGTCCTCTGTAGGTTGGGTCGGTTCTGGAAATACATTGTAACTACTCTAACCTCTGACCAATGATCCGAGTTCCAGAAAGTAATAATTGTATGTGAGGACGAAGCACAAATTACCCTCCTCCCCCACCCCGCCTGAATGTGACCGACCACAGAGGGGGCTGAGCTCCCACCAATCACGCTCCAAATAATGACTGACCACCTCTCTGTATTCCAGGTTGAGGCGTTACTGCTGGAGATGCAGGACGTGGAGGCAGGACTGAAGACTCACACCCAGCGCCTGATGATCACCACCATCCCTCATGCAATCACAGGTAAGGCGCATATCTCTGCCCCTCCCACAATGGTGAGATTTCCTCCAGTAGTTTGTGTCTCTGCCCCTCCCACAATGGTGAGATTTCCCCCCAGTAGTTTGTGTCTCTGCCCCTCCCACAATGGTGAGATTTCCTCCAGTAGTTTGTGTCTCTGCCCCTCCCACAATGGTGAGATTTCCTCCAGTAGTTTGTGTCTCTGCCCCTCCCACAATGGTGAGATTTCCTCCAGTAGTTTGTGTCTCTGCCCCTCCCACAATGGTGAGATTTCCTCCAGTAGTTTGTGTCTCTGCCCCTCCCACAATGGTGAGATTTCCTCCAGTAGTTTGTGTCTCTGCCCCTCCCACAATGGTGAGATTTCCTCCAGTAGTTTGTGTCTCTGCCCCTCCCACAATGGTGAGATTCCCCCCAGTAGTTTGTGTCTCTGCCCCTCCCACAATGGTGAGATTTCCTCCAGCCTTTGCTGTTCCATATTTCTGATGATGTGTTTCTGGGACAGGTCACGACATCCTGGAATGGCTGATTCAGAGATTACAGATTGGAGATGAAGGTGAGTGAACGATGAGTCATATTTTCACATTAGAGGAAATAACAGCCTCAAGGCTGAGGGAAACAATATGTGGGGACAGGACTGATGGAGGGCATACATGTCCCCCAGGGCAGTACGCGGACCCCCATACATATCCCCCAGGGCAGCACCCGGACCCCCATACATGTCCCCCAGGGCAGTACCCAGACCCCCATACA